AGTACTGGATCCTTAGCATGGCATTGACTATTGCCACGAGATAAGTTAAGGACTTCCGCGAAAGCAGCTTCAGCGCCTTATTAGTGATTTGATCCTCCCCAGCTGCTTTACGCACTTTAAGGTCTTAATATGACCTTGAATCTCTGCTGGTGTGCAATGCGGGATCTCAGGAGATGCCGCTGATGTGCTAAGCAGATCTTCGGTTGAAGAAGCTTCTGAAGAAGAATCTTCTGATGAATAAAAATCACCAACGATAGCGCGACTGTCACTGACGCCGTTGGCCCTAAAATAGCTCCTGACAGATCTTACGATGTGTTGCTCCTCGTCGAGGTCATTATCAAGATCATAGTTGGGAGAACTGTCTTTCCATGGCATCGGCGAAAACCTCAACCTTCTCCTCTGTCCTGAAGACAATGCCTCCAGGACCGTGAATGTGTGGGATTTGTTCACGCTTTCCGTTTTTGAGCGACTTCGCCACCTTCCAGAGAGGAATGCTTGAGTCAAGCATCCCCGCCAGAAAGTCGTTCCATTGCTCATTGTGGAATTCATAAGGAGCATTTCTTACTTCATGAACAAGATTCGTCGCTCTGCGAATGTCATCAGGATGAGATATTCCAGGTTTACTGAATGAATTTGGCAGTTCCTGTGTACCTACCGAGTGACGACTATTTATTGACTCTTCGAACACAAGTCTAAAGGCAGTTTTGCTGTTCAATGGAAACGAACGGTCATCAGTTCCCGTTGGTCATGCTGGAAATATGAAAGAAACATACCAGAACATGCGCATATATTATTACTCCAAAGCATAAAATACGAAGATCATAAGTGGAATATCTGTGCCTATCTCAAAGTTATTGCATTGCTCACAGGACAGCAAAGTGACTTCACAAAATATTGTTGTTTTTTATGTGCATGGACAGCAGAGCCAGAAACCAACATTACACGTTGTGCCCGGCCAGAATAATGTCCTTAATGAACCCTTAGTAGATCAGCAGAAAGTTTATTTACCTCCTCTGCACATAAAACTAGGGCTTATAAAAATTTACGTGAAAGCCTTAGATATAAAGGGAAATGCATTCCTTTATTTGAGATGGAAATTTTTTCAATTCAATTCAATAGGCTTTATTCAGAAAAAAAAGTTGATATAAAAACAAAATGAATGAATAACGCATGAGCCGATAAGTGTAAAATAACACTTGTTTCGGCATAAAAAGAAACCGTATATCTACATATCTATACTAAAAACACATTGTAATCTCACATACATACATATAGTACGAAGTTGAGTCATTATTTTAACAGTGAGTAGATCTGATCAAAAGAAATGTTTTTTTCCTTTACCATTTTTCTGGTAAAATTAAAGTAACAAAGTTATAGCCCTTTGGAAGTTTGAGTACCGCCCTGTCTCAATATCATCATGTGCTCGTGTTTGGCAACAACGGATATAATCCACCTTATCGGTTCATCGCATCGGAAACAAAAAAGCGAAAGAATTTGGAACGATGTTTACTTTATTCAGTTCAGTTATACATACAATCAGTGTCAGTCGCGTGTGCTCAAAACGAAATAAAAAATGGCACATGTTTATGCGGATCGGTTTCCCAATCGAGTGCAACCAACCCCTCGTGCCTTTGTTAATAGTAGTACAACGGGCTCGTGAATCAGGTGACTTCAGACCTCATAGGGGACCTCACGATCAAATACAGGTCCGCACTGAAATACTTGTCGGGAGGATACTTTATAAAACAAGGTAAAAAATTTTTTTTATTTTTTTTTTATTTTTACACACATATTTTGGTTTATCTTCTTCTACAATCATTATCTGAAAATTAATGACTCAACTTCAAAGTCACCCTGTATATAACGTATATCGTAAGCTAAAATGGTATTAAAATAAGAATGATTAAAACGCTGTAACATAATACTGCACAAATAATACTAACAAAAAGAGGAGGCTAATAAAAGAAACCTAACACAGACATAACAAATATACAGGTAGTTGACGAATAGTAAGCAGATGACATCGTTTTATAAATCTATGTAACCTGATCAATACAGATTCATAATAATTACACTACAACAGATTGCTAATGTAGTAAATTCTCTATTGATCCTCGTGGTTGGTTTAAAATGAATTGCTTCAACGCTTTCTTGAATGGCGCCAAGTTGATGCGTTGCAGATGTGGTGGAAGACTGTTGTACAGTTTAGGAGCAATATACCTGTAAGTATATGAACGCTGTCCTATACACTTTTAGAAAAATGGTACGACATGGTGGTGTTTTTGCCGTATTGAGTATGGGTGTATTGGAAGCGTTTTTGAACTATTTCAACAGGGAGGATATAAGTCTTCGAAGCTCCTCCCATGCTACTATGCCGTACCTTATGTGACTTTCCACTAAAGCGCGATATAAGGTTTCCATTTGGTAGGTCGTCAATATTTTTTTCATGCGTCGCAACTTTTTACAGATGAAGTTTGTATGTTTATCCCACCTCAGATGTTCATCTATAATCACGCCAAGGTACTTAGCACTTTTTTCTGGCATTATTGAATGTTGTTTCCCATTTATACTGACACTTATATCACTAAACGATCGCTTCGGCGATTTATTGCATGTAAAGGGGATAACATGTTTTTCCCAGTTTACTGTTAATAACATGTGCTGGAGCCATCTCATTATATTTGGTAGGTCAGTTTCTACGGTGGATTCGAGATTTTGCCAAGTGTCTGCTTTGTAAAATATAGCAGTGTCATCTGCAAATCCAAAGATGTCTCCACTACATTGGACCGAAAATATCCCATTGATGTAAATATTAAATAGTATATGCCCTAGAACGGTGCCTTGCGGCACTCCGTACTCAATCATTCTTATGTCGCTCCCTTCCTTATCTAATCTAACAATCTGGGTACGGTTAGATAAATAGCTCTCAAAAAGCTTTATGCAATTCCCTCTGATACCTATGTCCTCTAGTGTTTGTAAAAGTAACTCATGACTGACAGTATCGAACGCTTTCGATAAGTCGACAAATGCACAGAGGCTAGGACTATTTTCATCCAAGGCACCATATATCTTTGAGGTGACTGCTAAAATAGCATCTTCTGTAGATACTTTATGTTTGAAACCATATTATTTGTTAGATATAATATTGTATTTTTCAAGATAGGACAATAATATTTTTTTAATAGTTTTTCGAATATTTTTGAAAGGTGTGTTATAAGTGATATTGGCCTGTAATTCGTTACTAGTTGGCTATCTCCTTTTTTGTATATAGGTGTAACCACGGTCTCTTTGAAAGCTTTTGGCCAACAACCTTGTGCTACACAGAAGTTGAAGATGTATGTTAGTGGTTCCGGGAGATTTTTTGATTTGAGATCTCTCATGATGTGCTTCATTTCTTCAATATTTGTTGGGAGAAGAACAAATGATTTTAGGATTGTTTTCCTACGTGGACGAAAATTTGGGTCTCTACTAATTTTGCTGGCCATTTCTTGTCCTACTACACTAAACACATTATTGAACTCATTTGCTATTGTTTTTTTATCTATTAGAAGTTGTCCGGAATCCGTCTTCATCGTTGTTACATTTTCCTTTTTCTTTTTATTTTGAGCTATCTCTCTTACCAATTGCTGAGTTGGTTACTATTTGATTTTGATAATAGTCGCGTTTTGCTTTTGTTATTAAGTTTCTTAATTTATATTTGTAAGTGTTGTATTGTGATCGAAGTTCCGTATCATCTGGGTTATCTCGTGTGCGCTTAAATAGTTTATTTTTAGTGTCTATAGATTTAACGAGGCCGTTTGTGATCCATGGTGATATTTTTGTGTTTCTCCTTACATTTTTTTTTTAAAATGAAGAATCATCCATGACTCGAGAAATGATGTTTACAAATGCGTTATTTGCTGAGTCAGGATCATCAGCTAAAAAGATGGCATTCCAGGAAGTGTTTCCTATACTTGATTTCAATTTATTTAGATTAGTGTGTTTTTTGAATCTCGTCTCATTTTTGTTTGATTTTTTTTATGTTGATGAAGTACCATCTGACATCCTATTGCGTAATGATCTGTGATATCAGTTTGTACGATGAAGGATATTATTTAATCCGTTATGTCATATTTTGACTTAGAGAATATATGATCAATACATGACCCATTCGCGTATGATTATTTATTAATGACTGGTAGCCAAACTCGCTTAATGTATTGAGATAATCTGTGCAATAGCTTTCATTTTTCAAAATATCTATATTAATATCTCCAACGATGAAGGAATATGTAGCATCCCTAGTATTGTGATTTTGAAGGAATTCCAACAGATTACTGTTGAACTCATTAGGATCTGTCTAAGGAGACCTGTAAATTGCTACCAAGCTCAAGTCATCGGAATCGGTTACCTTGACAGTAAGCTTTATGACTTTATTGTTATTTAATGGTATTATTTCGAATCTGTAATTGTAGTCCGACTTTATGAATACCATGACACCGTCGTTTTGATTGACTGCACCTTCATTATAAATGAGTTCGTATCCCGTAATACTATAAAGCTTACTGTTCGATACAACCCACGTCTCCGTCAGTACAACGCAGTCGACACTTGAGCTTATATTAGCTAATAACATTTTGAACTCATCCACGTTTTTGGCAATACTACGGATGTTGTTGTGTAGAATTTTAAAGCTATGAGAGTTCTCATTGATAGCTAAAACTAAATTTAATTCTTCACAGTCTGCTAGTGTATATGGCTGCATTGTTTCAACCTCAAAATCTCGAATATATTGATCCATATTTAGATAAAAACCAAAAACTATTTTTTTCCTTAACGTACTAGATAGAAATACTAACCACTAACAGTAAAATAAAAATTTAAAATATGGAAACAAATTATAACAATGAACTAAAGTTATAAAAAAGTTATGGAGCGCGTAGTTCTACTCACGACTTAGTTCTTGTAAGAACGTGTTCTAGGTTTATCTTGAATCACACGCTGCATAGATTTATTTTTATTTACCAGTTAGGTTTTTTGCTTGGTGGCTTTTGTGGAGTAGAAGGGTCTGGCTTTGATTCCTCTGACGTCTCGACGGATGGAGTATGAGGAGCGTTGTTAGTTCGATTTTCTTGACAGACGTCTGCTTCTAACTCATCTGCAGTGTACGCGCCTCCATCCACGAAAAGTTTTCCTCCATTTAAGTAACAGTCTCTGTTTTTATTTTCTTGCCTGGCAAGGTAAAGATGGCTTCTCAATATTTTATTATCACTTCTTTGCTTCTGTGTCAGGTCGTGAGATATGTATATATTTTTCACTCTTAGCAGCTTATTGCAGCGTTTCATGAGATTTTTTTTCTTCAAGTTAAAAATAAATTCAATTTTTATTAGGCAATTATGTGATTTACCCAAGGGATAAATGTCACTGATATCATTTTCAGATATATCTTATTCTAGTAAATTTTTGAGATCCGAGCATACAATTTCTGCAGTAACTTCTGACTGATTCTTGTTAAGACCAAGTATTATAATATTTTTCTTTAATGGTTCTCTCTTGAGTAGTTCAACCTCGTCTCTGAGGATGTTATTTTCTTTCTATAATTCAACGACGGTACTTTTTATTTCTTTAATTTTCTTTCCCGCGTATAAGTGAAGCAAAGCTTAACGAAGAAACTTTGTAAAGACCAACGTTTTAAAACTACTTACACTTTCGATAAATGAAAGAGGGCATGGGATGCCTTCAAAAATGTAAGTAGCAGCTTCCTATGCAACAAAAAGTCGGACAACTACAAAGAGCTAGTTGAAGAACTTATCCAATCTTACCTATAAGGCTTTAGTTTGCAATATGTCACTTAAGCTGCATTTTCTTCACTCCCATTTAGAATTCTTCCCTGTCAATTTGGGTGCATTTTCAGACGAGTACGGCGAAAGATTTCACCAGCAAATTGCTCTGATAGAGAAGTGCTATAGTGGCAAATGGACGCCAAACATGTTGGCGGACTACTGCTGGACCATTAAACGTGAAACCGTTCCTAGCGAATACAAGCGAATAAAGTCAACTAAACAAATTGTTTATTACATATTATAGTATATTTTCTAAAAAAGTGGATTAATTTTTTTTTTAATTTTTAAAGATCACCACTAGATCGCTTATGATTTGGGATTTTCATATTTTATATTCTCCCTTCTCTAAAAACTTATGGGTGATGTGGAGAAACCGACTGCATATTAGATTTCAGTACAACACAGTAGACACAAAAAAACCGGAAAAATTTCGGAGAGTTACAAAAATTTTCAAAATGCCGAACAGTGAATTGGCGTAATCATTCAGAAATTTCTGCTGTCTATGTGTGATTCGCCTGTTTTTCATTATATCTTATCGGGCACGTTCTTTTCGGTCTCTTTAAATAAGCTAATTTTGAAATTTAAATACCAACTCTCGATGATTATCAAGGGCAGCTTATCATTACCAAATATTTTTTATTTTGTTGACACACTTTTTAGTTGATAGACCACGGCGACAATTATGAAGAGTAATGGCACGGTAAGCAACAACTGGGATCGACCTGATAGCGAAAATTCAAATAATTATTAATTTATTTGCATTAACCGTTAGCGGTTTAGAGCTTATACTTTATATGCGAGCTAACCAAAGAGGGTACTTCCTAAAAATATAAACATAACATAGCTGCATTGTAGCTACTTGTCAATCCTTTGGTTCCAGAAAATTATCACCATCCTTCACTCGAATTTCTCTCACATAGCAAACTATATAGATAATTAATGTGATTTTGTGGAAGGTCAGTTGGGATGAACTGTTTTCGCGTTGTTCGGATGTTAATGAAATGGTTGAATGTTTCACGGTTAAGCTTAAGCAAGAAACTATCAGAACGGAAGAAAATTTATCACAAAAAATTTAAATTGTATTAAGACTCAGTAGCTTACTCTCAATACACCGCATTGAGGAAAAAATCCAAGCAGTTGATAGCCAAAGATTTTCAAAACTATGCAACAAATACAGAGGATGAAATCCAAGTTGACTCAAAGAGATTTTGGAAATTTATCGCAAACAGTAGAAATTCAGATAAAAGCATCCCCCAGGAAGTAACATACAAAAACAAAAGTTCTAATCAGCCAATTGAAATATGTAATTTATTTGCCGAGTACTTCGGTAGCGTCTTTTCCATAAATAAAGTTTCCGAAAGTCCTGTGGAAGAAGGAATACTTAAAGGCATAAAAACTATTCATGAAAATCACGTACTTGAAATTATTAACTATCTAGATATCACGAAATCTGCAGGAATTGACAATATACCTCCATTATTCATCAAAAAATGTAAAATGAATTTTTATAAGCCACTTACCTTAATTTACAACACCTCCTTAGAATATAACACATTTCCCGATGCTTGGAAGAAATCATCAGTTACGCCTATCTTTAAAAGTGGAGACAGGTACATGGTAGACAACTACAGGCCGATTAGCAAGCTGTAGATATTCTCGAAGATCTTCGAAAAGCTAATTTATAACGAAATACTTTTTGACGTAAAAAAACATAGTTATTCAGGAACAGCATGGATTTTTTCCGAAAAGATGCTTGGATACCAATTTGCTTTGTTTTTCCGACTTCGTTTCTGATGCTATTTATACTGACTTCAGCAAAGCTTTCGATCTAGTTAATCATAATTTGCTATTAAGAAAGCTTGCTGACGTTGGTGTTCGTAGCACCCTTGTAAAGTGGGTTTCATCTTATTTGATAGGGAGTTCTTTGTGTATCAACGGGTATAAGTCGAAAATTGTTACTCCGACATCGGCAGTTCCTCAGGGTAGCCACCTAGGTCCTCTGTTCTTCCTAATCTATATTAACGATACCGCTCAATGTTTCAGCCATTGTCAATTCCTTCTTTACGCAGACGATTTAAAGATGCACCAAAATACAATGCGATATCATCAGACTCAATGATTATTGTCAGAGAAATGATCTGCCGCTCAATATTACATAAGTGTTTCTCAATTAGCTTTACCAAAAAAAGGAACGTATTACAGTATGCGTATCAGATAGATGATAATATTAATTCGGTGAGCACTATACGGGACCTGGGTGTTACACTTGATACGAAATGGAGCTTTAATAACCACATAGATAAAACCATTAACAAAACCAATAAGATGCTTGGCTTTATTAGGAGACACTCTGGATACTTTAATAACCCTGCTACCCTGATATCACTATATTATGCGTTTGTACATAGTAAGCTCTCATTCGCGTCTATTATTTGGAACCCACACTACGAAGTCCATATAAAAAAGGATTGAGTCTGTCCAACATAAGTTTCTACGGGTTTTGGCGTATAAGGCGAATATCCAATATACATAATCATGATTATAGCTTGGTAATGGAACGTTTTAAAATCTTACCTCTATTTAAGAGAAGGGTATCTGATTTGTGCTTTATTCAACGAATCTTAAACAATCAAATTGATTGTTTTTACCTTTTGTCTAAAATCAATATACATAGTCATGCCATAAGTTCTGTCCCTCGTTTTCAAACAAGTGTAGACCTGTTAATACTTGTCCGATTGTTTACATTGTGGTGTCAGTTGATTAAGCGCTTTTCGGGTAATTACATATACCTCAGTTTGTATTGATCTCTCGAAGCATAACGATGGAGTGGGGCAAGGCAGAGAACCGTATTGCAGTGATAGCTTTACATAAGTGTAATCACAGTGCTAGTCAGATTTTTGAACTCTTACGCGGCCTTCAAATATCGCGTAAATTTTTGTCTAGGACCATTCAGCGGTACAATGAGACGTCCTCTGTTGATGACAGGCCAAGAAGCGGAAGACCTCGTCAAGTAAGGACTCCAGCAGCCATCAAAGCCGTAAAAGCCAGGATTCAAAGGAATCCACTCCGGAAGCAGAAGATCCTATCCAGGGAAATGAAGATACCTGTCCGGACGATGTCGCGCATCATTAAACAAGACCTAGGGCTAGGGGCTTACCGGAGACGTACGGGCCAGCAACTTACGGCCACCTTGCGACACATCAGGGCGACAAGATCCAAGAAGCTCTTGGAGAGGTACGCAGCTGGGGGATTCCGAAAGATTTTGTTCACGGATGAGAAAATCTTCACCATAGAAGAAAAATTCAACCGACAAAATGACAAAGTGTATGCAAGGAAATCACAGGAAGCTTCGGAGATCATTCCGAGAGTTGAGAGAGGCCACCACCCTGCGTCAGTCATGGTTTGGTGGGGGGTGTCCTACGAAGGGGTCACTCAGCTCCATTTCTGTAAACAGGGCGTGAAAACAAAAGCGGCAAACTATCAGAGCGACATACTGGATCCTATCGTCAAGCCTTTAAGTGGTACATTGTTTGCCAACCAACACTGGGTCTACCAGCAGGATTCCGCCCCCGCTCACAAGGCTAAGAGTACGCAGCGCTGGCTGGAAAGCAATGTGCCAGAGTTCATTGCTGCGGAAGATTGGCCCTCAGGGAGTCCGGACCTCAATCCTTTAGACTACAAGTTGTGGGACCTGCTAGAGCAGTTGGCCTGCTCCAAGCCCACCGTAATATCGAGTCCCTGAAAGCGGATTTGATCCGATCAGCGGCAGCTATTCCTTTGGAAGCTGTGCGTGCAGTGATAGATGAGTGGCCCGCGAGATTGAAGCAGTGTGTGAAGGCCAAGGGGGGACATTTTGAATAAAACTGTTTGATTATGAATTCTAAAAATGTTGTCGAATAAATAATATCTTTCATATAAATATATCTTATCTTGTTTCATTTTTATCATGAGATTATCATGGGACAGAACTTATGGCACGACTACGTATATATGTACCGCTAAGGGTAAACCAGAGGCACTGTACGTACTTCAATATCGCGTTTTGCAGAACAAATGTTGGATTAAACTCTCCGCTAATACGAATGCAAAGAAACCTCAATACCTATGGTGCATTTTCTGATAGTTCTGTTTGCCAATTCTCAAACTTTAAATACCGATTAAAGAACAGGATGTTGGCTACTCGCTTGTAAACGACGCTACTGTTCTTTAACTTTCTTCCTTGTATTGTTATTGCTAAGTTGTTTCACATGCATTTATATCGTTTTATAACAGTGCTTGTAACTTGGTATTCTTTGTAAGCTATGTTGTCGATGTCTTTTTTAGAGAATTTTGTCTGTTTGACATCCCGAAATTCTTAAATAAATAAATAAATAAAAAAAAATTATGCCGCGCCTTACGTACAGGCCATTATTATTGTAACTGATACTAAATAATGAGATATAATGATAGATAGAATAATTATTGAAGAATCAAAGGAAGTTACTGGTTAATGAAAATATTTA